AGCTTCAGTGGTTTGGGTGTGTGGTGGAGCTCCAGTCACAATCATGAATATAGACGACGGAAAATGAAGCAACGTGTGATACTTCTTTTGACAGTACTTGCAGTATCCACTTATGCAGTACTTTGCATGATAGGATGCTTTAATGTAATTGACTCATGGATTGTGTTTCTTAACCAAATCGAAACGTTGATGTGGAGTTCACGAAATATCTCACATTGGAAAAGAAAATGCGGTTGCTTAAATACAAGCAGCACATTTTGTAGCTTGTTCCGAGGCCGAATGATTCGAAACAGGCCGAGATATTGGTGGGTCAACCCCCGACGGTGTTAGACAAACTGATTGGGAGAGCTTCAAAGACTGTAAAGCACGTGATTTCTCATGAATGAGCTTGAACGTCTGGACTTGTCACGATTACTTTCCCACTGTTTCTGCGAGGTGGCATCCATTCGGCAAAAAACGGAGCTCCACCAACACAGAATCCCAATGCTGTGACTTGGTTTCCAAATTGTATAATATCTTGACGTGTTTCTCGAATTCATCAGCAAGTTCGGAAAGACCAGACTCATCCCAAAGTGGCGGAACCTAGAAGAGCACATTAATGTGCTGCTTGATCAAGGACTTGAATAGATCGTGGAAACCAGCCCAATCTTCAGGGCTCCCATCGAATTCGGGAATTTTCATCTCTGGGAGGTGAACATCAGATGGAGTGAGGTTGATATGATGTTGTGCTTCGGGAGCAGGTGGATTTGTAGGAGCTGGAGCTGGGAGTTTACTCGTGATCGAACCTTTAAAACGATAGTACAGGTTCTGAAACAAGGCCCGACTTTCAGTGGATGATGGATCTTTACCATGAACTGCTTCGAGTTCTACGTCAACGTTTTCCAAATTGATATACAAGCAGGATTACCTCGGGCAGGGTCCAAACAAGGATCGAATAGAAATAAGAGTCGAAAAGGTAGACAATTTACAGGTTTATTGAGCACTGAAAAGTGCTGTTTAAATTTTTTGTAGCTTTAGGTAGCAGTAACACTTCCTTCAGCATAAAGCAAATAGATACGCACACGGCAAGAGAGCACGATGCGGAATGGCAACGTATGGCTTGTGGAAACGCGATCACTGTCCGGGATGTTCCCAGGTTTGAGCATCAATGCGGATAGTGCCGGAATCCAGCACGACGAAAAGGCAGATTTTACGCATGGTAACACACTTGTGGCGTAGTGGTTAGCGTTCGTGTAGAATACAAACGTTCGAATCCAGGAAATGTTCTTTTATTCATATTTGGATTTAATAATAGATATAAGAATTATGCTTTATTTGAGCCTTCCGTATTGACATACGTATCAAATAATGTTACAAAAAAGGCTTGTGCGTATTGTTTCATGTGGGAACTTTTTACATACTTTAAAGTGGCAGCAGGGCACTTGTTCTGAATTTTGTTGCGGCCATGTTTGCTGCCTTACCTGAAATTCCTAAAGTGTGCTTAGGCTGCTTTTTGGAACATTTGTTTAACTTCAAGTTGCTAAGAGTACGCATCGGTGCGTTTTGGTTGCTTGGGTTGTTGCATCGATCTGTGTGCTGGAATTAACTGGAAATGTCTTAACATTGCCGTGAGGAAAAAAGAGAAAGTCAACAAATAGCATCTGTCAATGATAGGACCTAATGAATTGTTCAGCTTGAATTATGCACGTAGAACCCACACCATTGACAGACACCGACAGCATGCGGGAATCAATTATTTGCCTTATATATCCTACGTCGTTCGTCTGAAAGTTACGCTTGACATTTGATATTCCACACCAGCACCATCCAGACCGACACTGCAAATTCTGCTTCCAATCAAGCGTTTAGCAACGTCACCCCGGTCGCCCACATTGTCACTGGTAATTAGATTGAATTCGATGTTTACCGACAACCGCCATCTCCGTACCACGACGACCCGTATCCCATGTCAGTCAGTGTGGTGTTTGAAATCTATTTTCCAATAGATAAACGTCGTCTCCTTTGCAAAAAAAAACGTCGAACCTTTCTTGCTGGTGAAAAGCCACACACACAATTGAACGGAAATGAAGAAAAGAGTTGAAGCGAAATCCTTTTCCAACCAGATACGTATCAATTTCCTTTCGTCCGAACGAGCTCTTTGGACTTACCCAGTGGGATATCCAACCGAAAAGTGACCAAAGTGATCCTCACAAATTGCTGCACCCGGCATCCGCTGTGGTCTGTCTTTTTACCCGTCCTACAAAGAAGGGTATGCATATCGCTTGGAAAACGGAGTTTCGATCGGAGGCATGAAGGGCCGAGTGTTGCCAATCAACTCAGCTCGACGAGATTGGAACATTTCTGTGTGTGCACCGATTTTTTTTCCTAAGTCCTGTTTCTCGGCAACTACTGAACCGAATTAGCCGCATAAACCGCCCAATGGAAGGTATTGTGGTCTCAGATAACTAGTTTTGAAATCGGTCATCTGGTTATGGAGATATGGACGGAACAAAATCCAAAATACACGGATTTAGGAAACTAAGTCGTGGCCACCACTGAACCGATTTGGACGCATAAACCGCCAAATGGAAGGAATGGTATGGTCTCATAGAACGCATTTGGGTGTTTTTGGAATCGGGTCCCCAGTTCCGGAGATATGTTCCGGTGAATACGGGTCGTGATCCAATAATCGGCCTTAATCGTTTTAAGCCCATCACGTGGCATCTCAAATAACATGAGCATTCAAAAAAAAAAAAAAATCAATGGTCTACATCCGGACATCTTCCATGTACATACCCCCAGGGGAATTGGTCAGTCTCTGACTTGGACCAAAACCCATCATGCGGTACCTCAAATCACATGAGAATTCAAAAGAAAAACAAGTGGTGGGTAAATCAAGAGCCAAGACTCACATTAGAAACATCCGAACATGTTCTGGGTACAAATCAATACGTAAGAAGGATCAGATCTCACCGTAGGTGGATAAACTCAGGTTCTTTTTTTCGACTCATAGAAAACTAATTTCTCCTCCGAAAGCCATTCAATCAAAGGCTAATCAAAACGACACATACCCGGATGAACCCCGGTCGAGCTAAGAGATCTCGCAAAAAGTTTTCCCCAGCTTTGGCTGACCGGACGACCAAGCTTACCGATGACAACGACGCTGGGACGGTTGACTCTCTGCTTGCCGCCTGGCTTCAGGATATATTTATAGTCTCCGGTACCGGTGTACCCTTTTCTTGCCTCAGCTCCCACAAATCCCTCTCCCTTAGATCGAAGCTTTCTTTTATGGATTGACTTTTATCAAATCACTTTTCTTCTGAAGCTCCGGATAGGGGATAGGAGGAGGGGGGACTGATGATGGAGGAGGTTCGGTCACACAAACATACTTCTCTATCTCGTTTCCGATATCGCTTTGATATGATTTTGATTTTATGCGCTTCTTTGCACAATTTTCCGCTCCACAGTTACTGTGCCGCAGGGGAGTTGGACGACGAAAATAAGGCATCTGGAGTTGGTTCGGGAAAGGACCATCGATCGAACGACATCCACACTCACATACATACTAGGCACCGGGGGAAGGTCTGAGAGCGTAGGTTGGAGGGATATCTATCCACCGAAGGGATTCCGTCATGCGGCAAATAAGATGAAAGTTAGCTCGTTATCGTTAGCCGAACGCTGGCTCTAAGGATGGGCAGAGGGGCGGAAAAGTTTGCTTAGCAGGAGACGGGATGTCACTTCACCCGCTTCGAGTGGTGCTACACATATACAAATGGCAGTTTTGTGGCTGACAATGTAAACAATATGATGAGGGGGTTCAAGCGTCCAACAAAAGCCGGGGACGACGTGCGAGGAAAAGTTGGTCCACAAATATCGATGGTATTTTCTGCTAACGCCGTGCTGTGCTATCTTTGGCCGAGTGCTGATCCTGACGGGAAAGGTTACAGGTGAGCAGGTGAAAGGTCGGAGATTAGGAATTCGGGCGGAGTAAATGGGTCTTCCCGAGAAGGATGCGTCAGATTTACCTAAATACATACATAAGATTTGATGGAAAGGTGCATTCGGAAGCTAGTGCTTTTTGGGCTGTTCATAAACTACGTGGACACTTTATGCAGGGGGAGGGGGATGGCTACTGTCTACGGTCCACACAAATTTCCAAACAATGGTCTACGCGGGGGAAGGATGGGGTCTAAAACCTCTCAAAATTGGGCTACGTAGTTTATGAATAGACCCTTAGATAGTTACATGTTCTATCATAGAATCCCATAAGTCATAATTTTAGTTCAATGGTGATTTCAACATTTTTTTTATGCTTGTAAAATGCGCACGATTCGAATGAACTAATTTTGATGACGTGAATAGTCAACCAACTAATAATAATTTCCCAAAGCAAATGTATTACCATATGAATACCTCCAATACATCAACAGCGATTTCAAAATTGGTTTTGCTCCCTTTCCATGAAATCGTCATCGACCAGCAAACAGAACCTTCCATCATGAGTGTTTATTTGAAATTGAAATTCCACTCAAATACCGCAACGCGATCCTCCGGTGCACACCCCTCGTTGCGCTGCAATCTCCCGAAGCACACACTTAATTGATTTCTGTCAACCGAACGTGATTAGTAATCCCCGTGGGACCTCCACTAACCTTTTCCCAAAACGGTTTCCACAGGCACACTAAATTTAGAGCCATCCTAGTATGAAATTCATTTTCTCCACTCTAATTTCATCTATCACAACCATGAGACAGTCATATATCTTACCTACGCTTCTCCCGAACGAAACGGGAGACAAACGCTGTTGATAAATTAGATCCCAACTTTAAAGAACTCGACTCGGCTCGACTTGTCCCGACGGCATTAATTAGTTGTCGAGTCCTCCCGTCGTACCGGGACGGCTTTTCCCATTTCACTGCGACAGCGGCGATGCAGCCGCATTGAGACGTGTGCTATACATATGTGTATTATATTTCAATGAGGCAATTAATATTATTTCTTTTCTCTTTCTCTTTCAACAGACACAAGCGGAAAGTTCAAAACTTCCTACCCTGCAAAACGCCAACCCGGGGACCACCGCATCATCTGGACGCAACAGGTGTGTCAGCGGCCCACTCAGTGACGTACGAGGATCCGGACGTGCACCTCGGACACCACCCGCTGGTCATGCGGCACCACCACCATCATCACCATCACAACATGGAGGTAGGTGTGGCATATATTGGGCATGAGTTTTCCGAAGATTTGCTGGTTACAATTAATGCAGCACTCACGCGATAACGAAAATGTTTTTCTTTTTTCATAAAAGGTTTTAGGGTCTAAAACCACTCAAAACATGTCCACGTGGTATGTGGACAGCCACTAAGTGTAGTATGTCGAGGTCAATGAATTGTACAATACTCTCGTAGCGTTACACAGACGGCAACGAACCGCACAAAACTTCGTTGAACTGTCTTAATCCTATTAACACGGTTGAGATAGTGAGGAGTCCACGTCGCAGAGTACCTAATACTTCAACGTAAAACGTATTAATACTCCAAATACCCGGTTCACGAATCACTCGGTTCTAAATGCTGGATTTCGATGGTTTCACAACCAATTTTCAAAATTCTTTCACCAATGTCTAACCCATCTCATCTAGTTACTTAATTTTTGTGTCTTTATGTGAACACCCACACTTTCCTCTTAAGTGCTGTGAGTGCGACAAGTACTAAATATAACTACATATTAGAAATATAATACACAGCAACAAAATCTGAATTATAATTGTGATGTAAACATTCATTCACGTAAACTTGTATTTCATTTCACACAAACGAGCAACTTGTACGCTTTACGTTGTTTACAAATATGGGCTTTTGTATAAAATATTTGCAACATTTCATGAAATGTCTCAGAACTTTACACGATTTATAATGTAAACTTAGATGAGATGTGACGCTCCTTTTATGTGCATGATATTAAACAGAAATTTACACTACTTTTATGAACCGTGTAGGTATGCCTAATTTAACTGAAGTCGTCATTTAGCTCCACAGTTTTTCTATAAACTTTGCTATGGCGTGCGGACCCGATTTTTAAGAAAATGCAGTTTTTGAACATCCATAGAATGCTGTATGAGACCTCGCACTATAAAGAACTAATTAATACAAGCTACCTAGCATACCTACCAGTGTTGTCAGATTGTTTTAAAGCTTTTCGGTTTTAAAGGTATTGAAAAATCGGAATTTATCGGTATTTACTATTAAATTAATTTTATATATTTGCCGTTTTTTATAGCAAAAATTTTAACGATGGTGACGACTGGAACTTGAGGGGAATTGCAAAAAAAAAAACACTATTTTTTAAATTTAATTTTAAAAACTATCGTTGTCCTCAAGTGGTGATCAAAATTGTGACCAAGTTGTTTTTCAATTAATATCATTAAATGAAACCAAAATATGGAAAATCAGCCACAACAACGACTGAACTATTGACAATAACGACAAACAATATTTTTCCACAACCCATGGCCGAAATGTCGAGCAGATTACATGGTAGACGTTGCAGTGTTTTAAGGGGAATGTTTGAATTAGCTTTTGAACGAAGCTGAAAAAACATCCAGAGAAAGACGAAAGAAGCTCTCTTAGATGAAGCTCGAGGAAAGTTCTAAGAACAGTTGGAAAAACATCCGAGAAACTTCCAAGACACAAATTATGAAACATGCGGCGAAAATTTAAATAAATTATCGAAAAAAAAACGGATGTCACATCCAAAGGAACCCGGAAAGTTTCGGAAATCGGGAGCAAATTTCTAGAAGTAGCCATTTCCAGGGAAAGCCAAAATAAGCTCAGAAATACCTTCCAAAAGAAGTCGAACGAAAAAACCTTTCGCTTATGGTCAAACTTCCAGAAGAAGACGAAAGAAATTTAAAGGAGAATTAATTGAACTTCCTGGAGAAATCGAAAGAAACTTCCTAGAGACGCTGGCAGAAGCTTCCTAAGGTAGATTGGAAGAAACATCTGAAGAAAGTCGGTAGCCAGAGCGCTTACTTAACACTCGAACATGTTCTGAAATGCACTAAGGAATATTCCCATAACTCCCCGAAATTCTTTAAAAGTTCTTGTAATTTCCCTGAAATTAGGGACTGGGTGATCCTCGTAGCGCTCGGTATTTCTCAGATTATAATGAGACTACCGGAATATCTCTAATCATCTTTGAAGGTCTCTGAACTTTCTTGAAGATTACGAAATCTCTTTAGTGCTCTCATAATTTTCTTGAATTTATTTAAAAATCAGAATTGAAGTTCTCTGGTATCCCCGATTTTTTCTATTTTTAAAAGTTATCGACACTGCCATTAAAAAGCATAGAACTTCCCATAAAATGTTCTCACAATGTTCTAATGTTCATGTAACTTCCCTTACGTTTCCTAAATTTTCATGACGCCCTCAGGACATTGCTGAAGTTTATGGAAATTTCCCGAGTTTCTCGGAACTTCTTTATAATTTCAGCAATTACATTGAAATTAATTGATTTGTCCTGATGTTATTTGAGCTTCACTAAAGTTCCTGAAAACCATTAAGTTTCCCTGAAGTTCATTGGACTTGTGAAATTACTTACGAGTTTTTGAATTTCAACAGATGTTAATGAAACTGTCTTAAATTTACCGAAACTTACACAAAAGTCTGGACTTCTCTGAAGATTGAGAACTTCTTAAATGTTCCTACAGCTAAAGTGGATCCGCAATAAAAATCTGATAGCATCCTTGAAGCTCCGGGAAAGGTGAAAAAACTGGCGGGAAAAGGTAAAAGAATCATTCGAGCGAAGGTTGAAGAAGCCTCCAAGGTAAGGTGGAGGAAAATTCCATTGGATGAAAGTTCAGGAAGTTAAAAAATGCGTTAAAACTTTCGGAAGTTAAATAATGTTTAAAAAGTATTTCTCGATTACCTAGGAATTACCGGGAACAGCCATCGACTATTTCTCGATTGCAAAAATTAGTCGCAAGAGTATCAAGCATAAAGATCATTGTTTAGAATTTTGAAAACTTAAAAAAATGAGGTATTCAAAAAGATACAAGTCTTTCACAAATTTTTTTTCCAAAATTCGAGTGTGGGTAGGCAATAATAATTTTGATTATTTAAAAAAAATCGGTATGATTCGGTATAACATATCAAAAATCGGTATTCTGGGGAACCTTATCTGTATATCGGTATCTAGTTCGGAAATCGGTATAAATGCCGATAAATCGGTATATCTGGCAACGCTGATACCTACACTGGCCGAAAACATCCGCAATACTACGAATGATTATTGCATTGCTCTAGCCCATTAACAATATGCAGGGTGTCCAGCCAACCGGGAAAACTTTCACTGCGGTAAAGTATCATAAATCCTCAAAATTACAACAACTCTATACTTTTTCTTTACTCGCAATCTGTTCGCGCACGAGGAAAACGACGATTTCGCTGTTTTTCCAACCACGATAGCTAACAGAGTAAATTTTAAGGATTTATTTTGGTGTCATTGGAAGAAAAGTGTTTGAATTATTTTGCTACGATTTTCCTAGTGCAGTAGTTCTAGTATCAAGCCTGAGCGAGACATATCTTGTTACGAAGCTACACCGGACACAATCAACGAACTAAAAATTAAAACATTTGTAAAACATTACATACAACATAAAGCCTGTGGTTAGTCTGTAAAACATAAAGATCTTCACGAAGGTTTACTCATTCTATCGTTAAGTCAAATAATCGTATGTCTTGTTGACCCTGCAGAACTTCAAGATAAGATATCCGGGATGATTGGAATAGTGCAACAATGTTATTTTTAAACACAATTACACATTTAAAATTATGTTATGAATCTCCGTGACTCACAAAATGCTCAAAAATTCTCAAGATTTCGATTAGCCTGTAAAATATCTTCAGAATTTTTTTAAGTGTGATAAGTATTTTGGTAACATATATTTGTATTCTTCAAAATGTTGCATGGCTTATAGAATTTCAAGATCTAAACTCCAGCAAGGTTTGAATAACTTTTGATACTGAGTTTCTCCTGCTCAGGTCTCTTGTACACTGAAACCTCCATTTACGAACCAAAACGGGGGTTCGTAAATCGAATTAGTGCGTAAAAAAAAACCTCGTTATTTGGGATTTACTTCGTAAAAAGAAAACTCGTTATTTGGGATTTACTTTGTAAAAAGAAAACTCGTTATTTGGGATTTACTTCGTAAAAAGAGGTTTTTCAAAATATTGTCAAATACCCCACAATATGGGTATTTTTGGAATCAGAGTGATGTGTAGGGACCTGAAATCGATGTCTGACGCCATTTTGAAAACCAAGATGGCGGCTTTCGGTTACAGAAAAACTTGGAAATTCTGCCAAATACCCCGCAATATGGGTATTTTTGGAATCGGAGTGACGTGTAGGGACCGGAAATCGATGTCTGACGCCATTTTGAAATCCAAGATGGCGGCTTCCGGTTACATAAAAACAGAAAAATAATGTTAAATAACCCCACAATATGGGTATTTTTGGAATCAGGGTGACGTGTAGAGACCGGAAATCGTTGTCTGACGCCATTTTGAAATCCAAGATGGCGGCTTCCGGTTAAAGAAAAACTAGGAAATTCTGCCAAATACCCCGCAATATGGGTATTTTTGGAATCGGAGTGACGTGTAGGGACCGGAAATCGATGTCTGTCGCCATTTTAAAATCCAAGATGGCGGCTTCCGGTTACAGAAAAACTTGGACATTCTGCCAGATACCCCACAATATGGGTATTTTTGGAATCGGAGTGACGTGTAGAGACCGGAAATCAATGTCTGACGCCATTTTTAAATCCAAGATGGCGGCTTCCGGTTACATAAAAACAGAAAAATAATGTTAAATAACCCCACAATATGGGTATTTTTGGAATCGGAGTGAAGTGTAGAGACCGAAAATCAATGTCTGACGCCATTTTAAAATCCAAGATGGTGGCTTCCGGTAAAATAAAAGCTTGGAAATTCTGTCATATGCCCCACAATATGTGTTTTTTTAATTGGAGTGACGTGTAAGCAGTGATGGAAAAGTTCGCAAAAAATCACTATGACTCGCGAACTTTTCCCCATCTTTTCAAAAGTGTAGGCGTCAGATATTGATTTCCGGTCTCTACACGTCATCCTGATTCCAAAATACCCATATTGTGGGGTATATGACAGAATTTCCAGGTTTTTATGTTACCG